CGAGTTGTAGACCAGGCTGGCCTTGAACTCACAGAGCTCCGCCTGCCTGAGCCTCTCCAGTGCTGGGATTACAGGTGTGTGCCACTGTGCCCAGCTTCTTTAAATCTTTAAATCCTTTAAGTGCTGTCCCCGGCTGCATCTGACTTGGCGGAGTTCCACTTGGCTGGCAGTCACCTTCCCATCCAGAAATCAGCTGCAAACTACAACCTGCTCCAGAGGTGAGGTTTGGAGCAGCCCCGGTGGTCCTGCGAACACGGAAAGCCCCGGGCTTGCTGGAAACGGATGCACACCAGTCCAGGTGACGTGCTGGCGCCCTGGCTCTTCAGCTGGGTCAGAGCAACAGATGCTTCTGACCAACACCCCGCTGCCCTGACCCCCCGCCTGACACTGCAGCCTGCCTGGGCCTTCATGGGCCTCCTAATTTCAGCTGGGAAGCAGTTACAGAGGAGAACACATTGCCCCTAACCCTCAACAAAATGCTGGAATGTTAGATAAAAAAAAAAACTCCCCGAAAGAAAAGCTCCCTGACAGAAGGGACAAAGTGAGCATGCGCAGTGCCCGATGCTGTCCTGCAACTCACTATAGAGACCAGGCTAGCCCCAAAGTCACAGAGATCCTCCTGCCTCTGTCTACACACTATAGAGACCAGGCTGGCAGGAGCACAGCGGCACCTGAGCCCGCACACTGCTATGGGGAATGTGAACTGCCATAGCCCCATGTAAACTCCTCAGAGAAACTAGAGCTATAGTCATGGAGGCTGGGGTGATGGCCCAGTGAGTAAAGAATGTCCTGCACACTGGTGAGGACCTGGGTGTGTGCCCCCGGCACACAAATGAAAGCTGGGCACGGCAGTGAGCTCCTGTAACCCCACGCTAAGGCGCAACCAACTGTGCCGAAAGGTCAGGCAAGGTCAGGCTGAGGAGGAGGGAGGAAGACAGCCGTCATCAACCATCTGGCTTCCACACATACCCACATGTGTAAGCACGCCTTACACACACACACCACATACACACATACACACGCAACAAAATAAACTAGCAAGGCCCACCCCATGGATCCAGCAGGCACCCATTCAGCACCCAGCCCATACAGTTCCAAATATTAGTTTTCTGAAATTCTTGACTAGAAACACATTCGGCTCACATTTCAGTAATAGACTAAAACCAGAAATGACTGCAGTGACACGGATGTCTTTGGTGCTCACATCAATAAAAGAAATAACCGCCTGTGTCCCCACCGCAAAGACGACCCTTACCATACGGAAACAAAACGAGTTTCCTATCGGTTGTCCTTTTGGGGATAGTGGTTTTGTTGTTTTCCTGTCAGCAGCCTGAGCCTGGCACGAGCACCACGGAGACCCGGCTGGCCACCAGCTCCTCTGTCTGGGCTCCCTGTGCTGGGGTCACGGATGTGCCACCGCGCCTAGGTTTCCTGCCAGCTGTAGACAACGGCAGCAAGCAACAAGACAGCCTCTTCCCTGGTTATTCTGTTAGAACAGCTCAAGGTCCTGGCTTTCCAGGCATGACATTGAGGTGCGGAACACCCCTCCTGTCCTCACCGTGAAGGCTGACCCTGCTGCCTCTGAGCTCGGGACCAGGAGCCCACTGTGTGTGAGCGATGACACAAGCGTTCCAGACAGCTGGAGGCGACTCAGAGAAATTGCCTGGGTCAGCTCGAGATATTTTTAAAGGAGATGCAAATTGAGGTAGAGGGAGAGAGAAAAGTCATCCTTTGACAAGCAGCCGTATTTGGGGCTGATTTAGCTGACGCTCTCACAGATGTTTCCTCAAGATTTAGGAAGGCCGACGTGGGCCCTTGCTGCGTTTGCACTCCATGCTAAATGTTGCCACTTCTCAACAGTCCGGGTAACAATGGTAAATGTGGACAATGCAGGCCACTATGTGGGGTTTCTGGGTTTAAAATCACCACACGGCTTTCTTTTCATTTTCTCTCCTTTTGGGTCCACACAGTCGTCTGCTGTGAAGGTGTGTTGCCTGCATAGGCCAGACAGGGATGTTGGATGCCAGATCTCCTGGGCCTCATACGTGAGCAGTGAAGGCTCTACCCACTGAGCCACCTTCCCAGCTCCCATGTGGACAGAGTCTGAGGGTTTGCTGGGGCCATGTGAAGAGACTTTGATTGTATCCTCACCATGCCTCTGCCAAGAATATCGTAAGTGATACCTAGTTCTAATTTGTTCTAGTTTGCTTTTCTGTCACTGTGATAAAACATTCTGACCATGAGCAACTTGGGGGGGAAAAGCTTTATTTCATCTCGCAGGTCTGAGTAACAGCCTATCACGGAGGGAAGCCAGGGCAGGAGTGGAGCGGAAACCCTGGAGGAAGGCCTTCTTACCTAGTGCAGGCCCATCTGCCCCGACAGACGGACGGCTCTGCCCACAGTGCTGGGGCCTCCCACCTCAATTAGCAAAGGAGAAAATCTCTCCTGGACATGCCCCAGGCCAATCCAATCTTAGCAATTTGTCAGCTAAGACCACCGCTTTGCGTTGACAACAAAACCAACCTGGTCACTCCTGTGAGCATGAGTGGACTCACTGTCTACCTCTCTGGCACTGCTCTGGAGTACTGCTCTGGAGTAACAGATAATGGTAAGCAGCCGTGCCATGCCCCTGGGAGGCGAGTCCCTGTACGTGTCTCAGACTGCACTGGGGTTTTCCCCCTTCAGTTATGGTGTCTCCAGATGGAGGATCAGATGATGATGGCTTCTCCTTGCAGCTAAATCCAGGGCAAGGTGGAAATCTTCAAGGAGAAAAGCCTTCTCAGGAGGAAACACCTATAACCTTCTTGCACTATCAAAATCCAGGTTTGGAGAGCACTCTGCCGCCCAGCATTCTTGTCTTCTGTGCCTAGAGTCCTTTCACGCATAAAATAACGCACAAACTGTCTAAAGGTCGTGGATGCATTGGAGGTCATGAGAGTGAGCTGGCCGTGACACTAGTCTCCCCCTTTGTCACCAGCATTGATGGTGCTGGGTGGGCAGGGCCTCTGCCCCCTCCCTCAGGCTCCTGAAGCTTCACCTGGCTGGAAGAGACAAACTCCCCCCCTGGAGGACGGAAGCTGTGCCTCCCTGCCGGAACCTCTCAGAGCTGGGTTTTAAATCAGGCTTTGGGTGACTGAAATCTTTAAGGCTCTAAAGAGGGTGAAGAATTTGGAATGGTAGAATTCTAGACATCAGGAGACAGTAAGAGGAAAAATTTGGCCTTTCAAATGTTAGCCAATGTTCTACTTTTGAGTCAGCCCAGAGAATGACTTTTTTATCTACTCCCTCACGCATTTAGTTCATCTGAAAGTCACACCCCTCTGCCATCAAAAATTTTTTTACCCTAGCATCTTCTGTTTCAAATATGCTAAATTTTCTTAATAGTTGGATGTTACTTTCATCTGTTTTTATTTGGGTCCTTTGGGATTAATAGAGAATGGAAAGTGTCTCCCTCAATAACGGCTACTGCTTGTATAAATACCCCCGAATTCATCCACTGAAACAATCTGCCAAAAAGAGTGATTAAGTCATGAGGTCAGAGCCCTCATATTTAGCAACAACACAACCAGGAATGTGCTCAAGAGAATTAGCCAGTCCCCCTCTCCCTTCTGTTCTAGCATAGGATTTAATGTTAGCTCCTCCGAGGGACAAGGCAGGCAGGCAGCAGTTTTGAAAAAAAGAGGGGAGGGGGGCTGGGCTTTTACCAGACACAGAATCTCCCAAGGACTTGTTCTTCAGCATCTTGGCCTCTAGAACTGTGGGAAATAAATTTCCATTCAGGTATTTTATTCTAACTACACAAATAGACTAGATAATAACCACTGTACATTTCAGAGTATAGGCTTTCTCTTTACTTTGAGACATTTCTGTCTTTGCTGGAGCCCACATTCATCTGTAGCTGTGGCTGTGCCCCCCACCTTCTCACAGGGCACACCCAAAGATTCCTGCCGAGTACTCTGAGGCTGCGGTTTGCTCAGAATCCCCGTCCCTTATCCAGGATTGTATTTTATCCATAGTAGTTACTCGACATAGGATTTGTTTAATAACTTGAAATTTCAGAAAATTGAAACATTAGAAGATATTTTTAATCTTCGGAGGAAAAAGCAGAGTTGGGGTGTGGCACATACCTGTGAGCCTGGGGAGACTGAAGGAGTGGGGGTGTGCATCCAAGGCCAGAGGGGTGGTATGACTAGGCATGGCCCCCAGACACACACGTGTGTGAATGCTTGGCCATCGGGAGTGACACTCTTATGAGGTGTGGCCCTGTTGGAGGAAGTGCGTCACTGAGGGGGTGGCTTTGAGCTCATATATGTTCAAGTTATACCCAGTGTGGCACACAGACTCCTCCTGCTGCCTGTGGATCCAGATGTAGAATTCACAGCTCCTCCAGCACCATGTCTGCTTGCGTGCTGCCATGTTTCCTACCACGATGACAATGGACTAAACCTCTGAAACCGTAATCCAGCCCCAGTTAAATGTTCTCCTTTATAAGAGCTGCCATGGTCATGGTGTCTCTTCACAGCAATAGAACCCTAACTAAGACAGCCAGCCAAGGCTACACAGCAAGACCCTGTCTCAGAGAATCAGTACGGTCATACATTTATGTATGTTTTTAGATTAGGAGAGAAACTGTTGCTGTGACGTCGGGGACGTTCAGGAGTTATCACCCTGGGGAATGGTCTTCCATTTTGAGAAAGTGAGTCTATGGTAAGTTCTACAGTTAACTCATGACGACATTTAACTGCTGTTGACACAGTGTCAAGAGTAGGAGTAAGGGCGAATTCACCCTCCTTTGCTTTCTCGCTGTTCCGCCGTCCATCACATAATTACTCAACATGGTGGCCCACACTAGAGCCTGATCCTGGGCCTCCCAGCCTCCAGAACCAAGCAGAAAAGAATGTATTCTTTTACAGCAGCATCAAATGATCAAATGGACTGAGCCAGGATGTTAAGTGTCAACACACACAAAAAAAAAAAAAAAAGTTAGTTGGAATGTTTACCAGAATTCTGGGAATCCGTGAAGTAGCAGCATGAGTGGTTTGCCCCTTTCTCCAGCAGCAACATAGTGAAATCTCAGGCCGGAGTCCTGGAAGTGGAAGGGATGCATAGTGTGACAATGGGCCCACCAAACCGACAGGTTCAAGTTTTGCACTTGGATTATTTTAATATTAAGAAATAAATACTAATTTAACAGCATGAGTTACCAATAGATAAATGGACCAGTTCACCTCTGTGGGTACTCCCTTTAGAACCCCCTCTTCCTTGTTCTACTGTGAGGTCAGTGTACATATTCTGAGCTTCTAAAACAATGTTGCTACGTAGCTTTCCTCCTAGTGAAGTGTCACGTTTGGTCCCTTGCAGGATACGTAAACAATTCTGATCTGAATTTCAGTTTTGCTAAATCTGTCTTCACATGTTTTTCCCTCTGCTCTCTCGTCAAAGGCTGCGCCATCACTTATGTAATTCCCACCCCCTTCGCTTATTTTTAGGAGTCTTCTTCCCACACTGTGGTCTCGGGTGTTTCATACATGGTCCCCTCTGCTGCCTGTCCCTTCTGCTTCCACTCTGTTTCTAACAGTGGAATATACCAAGTGCCCGAGAGAAAGCGCTGCATTTGGGAGACGATTGCCCAACGAAAAGGAAAGGAATGGGAATAAGAGAAGAATGCAGCAAACAAGGAATTGGAAACATAGAAAAGAAAGGAAGAGAGGAAAGCAAAATCCTTGAAAGAATGAAAGACAGTGGAGGTCCAAAGCCGAGCATGGACTCTGTCTCTGGCCTTTAGATGCTGGACTCTGGCTGTCATTTCCCTCCATACCATCGCTGTTTTAGAATTGGGGCCCTCGGCTGAGGTTCCAGAGCAGTGGCAGAGAGCTTGCCTTCAGGCATGAGACCCTAGCATCAGCTCCCAGCACCACCATCCCCTCCCCCAAGGGGGTCCAAATAGTCACAAAAGTCCTGAAGGTCACTGGAAGGAGCCTTCCAGTGCTCAGCTTCATGAAATGCCATTGCTGGAGAAATGGAAACGGAGAGGAGTCTCCTGACCAGCACCACCATTGTGTATTTCTTGGCTCTGCTTCTGGGGGAAAAGAAAGGGATTCCGGGGAACTCAGGATGACTCCAGAGCTGTGTTTGCCCTTAAGTTGGACAGAGTTAACAAATGTGATTTTGCTGTTAACCTTTAAAACTATTATTTTAGTGGTGGCAAGTCTTGGAGAATGGCTGCCAGACTGGATTTAATAAATATTTCATTGTGCTGGGTAAATGCCAGGTCGATAATTATGATCAAGAATTACACTAGGTTCTAAGTCCCTTAAACTTGTTTTTTTGTTTTTTGATTTTTGTTTTCCTTATTATTCCTTAATGAACACACTTAATTCTTGCATCAGTTCAGGCTTCTCTTGCCTGAAATCCCAGCTGCTGGGGAATTCAGCTGCTGACAGCTAGGCAGGACTCGGTATCTGCTTGTTCGCAGCCTTTGAAAGGCTGGTGAGTCAGACGGTAGCCCATCATAGGACTGCTTCACTCCACTGCCTGGCATCAGGAAATAGAACGGCTGTGGGCTGGGACAGAAGCTGCATGGTTGACACTTTTTTAAAAAGCAGATCGAATGTAGCGGACACCTATTTTTTTATTCCATTCCTCTGGTGCCTGACTTCTTACATCTGCTTCCTTCCTCACAAACACAAAGCATCTCTTTATTAGCCAGTGCCGCCTAGGTCACCTGAGATTACAAACGACTTTCTAAAGAACTGTCCGCTAGCCAGGAGCATCCTAGGCAGCTGATCTGAGCCCTCAAAGGCAAACCAAGTGACGGGAGACAGCCTCTCCTGGAGTTAGGGAAGGGAGAATTCTGAGTTGCTTCGGCAGGAGGATCCGGGTAGAGAAAGTCCACGTTCAGACCCGACCCCCGCCCCGGTCCCCGCACACACACGTTAACACTAACTGCGGAGCAGCCCCCGGCCGCGCGCCCCCGCCTCCCCCGGGGTGCCCGCCCGGCTCCCCACGCGTCCCGCCCCCGCCCTGGCCGCGGGCCCGCCGTCACCTTGATGCGCACGTAGCAGTGGGTACCCAAGGAGGGGTCGCTGAGGCAGGCGGGCGGGCTGGGCCGGGCCGCGCGGCGGAAGGTCTGCGCCGGGGCCCGGCCGATGCTCCAGAGAAGTTTGAGCAGGTGCACGGAGGCGCACAGGCCGCAGTAGCCGTACACCAGCGACCAGTAGAGCAGCGCGCGCAGCGCGGGCAGCAGGCGGGGCGGGCGCGGCGGGGCCATGGGCGGCCGTGCGGGCCGAGC